GTTTCCCTCAAAGTTGTTCTAACTCTGTGTGAAAATTTGTGCTTTTTGTCAAGTAATCCTTAACCATTTACTCTCCATACATCTCTACTTGTTATCTTGTTTTTGTTAAGTGCCGTCAAGTCAGTTCCAACTCATTGTGATTCTGTATAGTGTTTCTGAGGAGGGGTTGGTGGATTTGAACCTTTCGGTTAACAGTTAGGTGCCATTGAGTAGATTCCAACTCATATTGACCTTATGCACAACAGAAGAAGCACTGCCAGGTCCTGCACCCTCCTCACAATCATTGTTAAACATGAGCCCATTGCTGCTGTCACTGTGCCAATCCATCTCATTGGGATCTCCTGGTTTTTTGCTGACCGTCCACGTTACCTAGAAGATATCCTTCTCCAGGGACTGGTCCCTCTTGCCTACATGCCTGAAGTATGAGTGACATAGTCTGGCCATCCTTGCTTCTAAGGAGCATAATGGTTGTATTTCTTGCAACACAGATTTGTTTGCTCTTCTAGCAGTCTTCTAGAAGTTAAATATTTGTCTCCAACACCATGTCTCAAATGCATCAATTCTTCTATGGTCTTCATTATTCATTGTCCAACTTTCACATTCACATGAGGCTATTGAAATGACCATGGCTTGGGTCAGGTGGGCCTTAGCCTTGAAACTGACATTTTTGCTCTTGAACACTTTAAAGAGGTCTTGTGCAGTTGATTTGCCTAATGAAATACATGGTTTGATTTCTTGACTGCTGCTTCCATGAGTGTTGCTGGTGGATCCAAACAAAACGAAGTCTTTGACAGCTTCAATCTTTTCTCCATTTCTCATAATGTTATTTATTGGTCCAGTGGAGAGAATTAAAAAAAAAAAATGTTTTATTGTGAATTATGTGATAGTTTACATGGGAAAACATTAGCTTTACATTCATCCTATCGTATATCGTTTCATTGCCATGGTTACAATCCCCTCCATGCATTATCAACCAACCATAGGGTATATTCTGCAAGCCTGCCCCCCGGTTATCAGCACACAGCCCCTCTCCCTCTCTGGGTCTAAAGTCCCCAGGTGCTCCATCTCTCCACATCATCATCTCTGCCTCTATTACCAGCGTCACTTCTTCTCTGGGTAGGTTACCACACTCCGCTCTTCTCCCTTAATGGTACCAGGGACCTCCGCTCCTGGACTGCAAAGTCAATCACGTTCCTCCTTTTGCTATAAAACTTCTGCCTTTACATTTCCAACCCTTATAGCAATTATTCACTATAGTACCACAAGAGACCTATCCCCATCTCCTTTCACCAGCCCCGCCCAGACAGATTGGATACTACTCAGTGGAGATTCTACCTTCCTCCACACCCTCTGGATCTAAGCTCCCTCTTGAAAGCTTGTGAGCCGGTCACTTCTTGCCATTGTAGACCCCATTTTGGGTAGCCAATGTCCAAGTTGCCCATCTCTGTCTACCCTATGTATTGAGGGGGTAGAAATGATCCTTGCTTTAAAGATTTGTTCCCTCTTTTGAGCTACTGCATCCATAGGTGTATGTCAAGTTCATCAAATAGTATCAGATTACTCTTTTTTTCCTCTTCCTTCTTCTTCTAGTTGAGCTCTCATCATCCAGCCCTTGAAGCCCAGTCAAGTGGGTATTATCTGCAGGTGTGGGTGTTCTTGTGCATATGCCCTCTCTTCTAATCAGCTGGACACTTCACTCTCCACTCTAGTCCTCTGTGGTTATGTCACTGATTCTGGGCCCATGAGTCCCCAGGTCTTGCCATACTGCTGGCCAACCAGGTCTTTACCCGAGGTTCACAGGAGTCTATTGAACATTGTAGGGCTTAGCTTGCAGCTTCATTGCTGTTTTTCCCTCACTAACCCACGTGGTCACCAAGCCAAGAGCATGTCTGCTCATGTATTCCCATTGAGTTTTAGTCTTGGAAGGGGATTTGCCCTCGGGGGACCCAACCACTTGCCTTGATGTCTCCTGGTGAGCAACTTGCTTGTTCTTGTAGTAATCTGTCAGACTGACATTATTGTGTTGTATTTTTCCTGTCAGTCTTTCAAGAAGTATCTTCTAGCTGCTCCAGATTGGTCTGCTTGTCTTTTCAAATGGGAATTTCCCACCTCAGAAGATTCTGGATGGGGTTCAGAATTTCACCTATGGTCTTACGTAATGCAGAGGTTCCACAGGAAACATGTTGTATCCCCATTTTAGGTATTCCAATCAGTTATAGGCAGAAGACAGACTTATAAGCTTTCTATGGTGATATTTCTGACTGTTCCTTTCTTTCTCCCTCTAGTGTCTATTTTATAATGGTATGCCAGGGAAACCAAGATTCAAAAGACAGCCAAGCATCTTAACATTATTTTCCCCCTTTTGTCCATTTCAACCATGTCTCAATCCCTGTATCCTAGAGCCCTGTTGTTCCAAGGTTGTGTATACGTCATTATTTACCTCTGTCCCACTAAGCCCATACAAACCTGTCTATTTTTTCCCCCGTCAGCATTGTTCTTCCATTCCCCTCCCTCTTCTTGTGTATTGCCCACCTCCCCAGCACCCAAACGATCTTGTGTCTATTCCCTATCCTGTGCTCCACCTTCCTCTCCCTCCCCTCACCCCACTCCCTGCATCCCGGTAACCAGCAAAGAATTTTCTCCCCTCCCCACTTTAGTATGGGTTTTTTTTTCTTAGTCTTTGGAAATAGTGGTCCTATGCAGTATTTCTCCTTTTGTGGCTGACTAATTTCACTCAACATAATGTCCTCAAAGTTCATCCATGTTATGCTGTGGCTTGCAGCTTCCTTATTACTTGTCAAGGTAGCATAGTATTCCATTGTGTGTATGTACCACAGTTGGTTTATCCATTCTTCAGTTGATGGGCACTTAGGCTGTCTCCATCTTTTTGCTATTGTAAATAGTGCTGCTATGAATATTGGTGTGCATATATCTACTTGTGTTATGGCTCGTATTTCTTGTGGGTAAATACCAAGTAGAGGAATTGCTGGATCATAAGGTATTTCTATTTCCAACCTTCTGAGGATGCGCCATATTGCTTTCCGGAGAGGGTGGACTATTTTGCAATCCCACCAGTAATGCAGAAGCATTCCAGTCTCTCCACATCCTCACCAGCATTTATTGTCCTCTACTTTTTTTTTATTTTTGCTATTATTGCTGGTGGGAGATTATATCTCATTGTTGTTTTGATTTGCATCTTTCTAATTGCTAGTGATCATGAACATTTCTTCAGTTTGTTGGCTGCCTGGATCTCCTCCTAGATGAAGTGTCTGTTCATGTCCCGTGCCCATTTTTTAATTGGATTGTCTTGTAGAGGTTTTGTAGTTTCCTATATATTTTAGAAATAAGTCTCTTGTCTGATGTGTCATTGTAAAATATTTTTTCTCATTCTGTGGGTTCCCTTTTTACACTTTTGGTGAAGTCTTTTGATGCACATTAAGTTTTTAATTTTTAGTATGTCCCAATCATCTATTTTGTCTACTTTTGTTTGTGTAATTTTCAAAATGTTTGGTAGCCTGTGTGTGCACTGAATTGGAGCCCATGGAGGGAATTTTTGTTTCCTTTACATTGAGGTATAGCCCTTGCTGAAGGCTGTAGTCTGTGATCTTCATCAATTTATTTTGTAAACATACAAAATGATTTAGTAACATATGATAAATTCATAAAAGGGAACATAAGCTATTAATAATGATATTTAGAAGTATATTTTTGCATATAATTAAAAAACAGGCTACAAAAGAGTATAAATATGACATAAAAAGCATTCACAACAATTTTCATTTAAAAAAGTCTATATGGTCCTACATTTTTTTTTTGAGGAAAAAACTTGTGATAATTGTTGTTGTTGTCAGGTGCTATCGAGTCGGAACCGACTCATAGCAACCCCATGCACAGCAGAACGAAACAATGTCCGATCCTGGGCCAACCTTACTACTGCTGCCACACTTGAGATAATAATGTGGGGTAAAACCATTTGCTGTTGATTGAACTCTGCTTCATGGAGACCTCATATCTGAGTAACACTGTTCTCCACAGAATTTTCATGGTTGTCACCTACAGAAACAAATCACCAGGCCTTCCTTCTGAGACACCTATGGGTGGATTTGAATCAACCTTTTGGTTAGAAGTTAAGCACTTAAGGTAGAATATGTGTTAAGATTTTGGTCTTTAGAATAAAATAGATTTGGTTTTTTGAATCCCAAGCCACAGATAATGAATAACTCTAATACTTTGAATGAGGCACTTACCCAGGTGAGACAGTCTCCTTACCTGTATAATAGGGAAATCATAGTCTCTGTCTCTAGGAACAGGAGCCCTGGTGGCACAATGGTTAAGCACTCTGCTACTAACTGAAAGGTGTGCAGTTTGAACCCACCCAGAGGCTCCTTCAGAGAAAGATCTAGTGATCAACTCTATTATAAAGATTGTGGCCTAGAAAACCCTATAAGATGATTCTGCTCCGTCACATGAGGTTTCTAGGAGTTTAAATCAACTCTAAGGCACCCAATAGCAACAATCTCTGAGGTAATGTCTGTAAAATGCTTAGCACCATGCCCGATACACAAATAATATCTCCAAATTGGTATCCACTATTATTATTTATAATAATGAATAATTTTTTTTGGGGGGGAAGATATTCCTGGAGAGATGCTTACCAAAAAAAGTATTCTTTTGTACTTATTAGATACTTCTTATATCCAGCTCTGCATCAGCTCCTAAGGTAAGTGGCAGGAATCAAAACTCTGGCCCTTGCCCTCTAGACTCTTACTCTCTGGTCATATGACTACTTCAGTTTTGGTTGCTGACCAGCAACAGGAAGAAGGAAGCAGGTTTCATGACTTCCAGAGTAAGCAAACAAACTACAGAATGAACCTAAGCTTTGGGGCTCACAGGTCCTGGGTGGTAGAAGTTAATTGCTCTCCTAGTTACTGGGATGTTGAGTAGGTTTTGCAACCTGCATTTGGTAGTAAAAGTCTTATACTTATTTTCCATGTCTCTAGCCCCCACCTATTATAGATTTTGGAAAGATAATCATCTATACAAATAACTTGAAAATCATTCGAACCCCAATGGACAAGAGAGATTTCGTGAGGAAAATTCTCCAAAAGGAAGAGGAGGCTGAGGAAGAGTCTCTGATGAACAAAGAAGAAAACTATGGAGACAGTGACCAGAATGATGGGCCTTTGCCAGAGACAGACAGCACGTTCCCCCATAACCAGTACACACAGGTGTGTTGGAGGGGCCTCATTGTCAGGCTCAGGGCTGGCCTTTCAGCAATGGTCTCCAGATTGTTTAGGTTATGCACCCCTTAAGTGAAAAGAGAGAGAGAGAATCTCAGTCCAGTGCTGATCGACAGCACCACACAAATCCACCAATTTCTCAACAGCTTCTATAGAATGCACTTTTTTCTCCCTTGAATATTTAAGATATCTGGATGTTAAAGATTTTGAGAAAATTCAAAGTTTATTGTATTTGTTGTTACTATTTTTAAGTGTCATCGAGTTGGTTCTGACTCATAGCAACAAGGGTTTCCAAGGAACAATTGGTCGGTTTGAACCGCTGGCCTTCTGGTAAACAGGCCAGTGTTTATTTTACAACACCACATCATTGTTTTTAGTGGCACATTAACAACAGAGGTCATAAGTCCGCATTTCAAATACTCATAATTTCAAATGCTTTTATCATTTATTTTCTTTTTGTTGTTGTTGAGAATATACACAGTAGCATATACACCAATTCAACAATTTTTACATGAACAATTCAGTGACATTGATTACATTTTTGAGTTACACAACAATTCTCACCCTCTCTTCTGAGTTGTTCCTACCCTGTTAATCTGCTCACTGTCCCTATCTAATCTTTTGAGTTGCTATTGTCAATTTAATTCCTTATAGATAGGTCTTAACTGAACACAATGCTCAAGGCAGACATTCTTTACCAATTAATTGAAACTATTGTTTGTTTTTAAGAAGACTTCAGGGGAAATTTTTGGTCTAAGGCTTAAGCTTATCTCAGGCATAATTTCTTTCTTTTTTTTGCCTGACTCCTTTTGACATCTGATGGGATGTTTATTGTTTTCATTTTGCAATGTGACTTTGTTGTTGTTGTTATGTGCTATGGAGTTGGTTCTGAATCATAGTGACCCTGCACAGGGTTTCCAAGGCTGCAAATCTTTACGGGAGCAGAAAGCCTCATCTTTCTCCCACGGAACAGCTGGTAGTTTCAAACTGCTGACCTTGAAGTTAGCAGTCCATTTCATAACCACTATGCTATCTTCTTGGATCAACTATCAACACTCGCGGAAGTAGCAGTCAAGAGATCAGACGACGTATTGCACTGGGCAAATCTGCTGCACAGGAACTTTTTAAAGTATCATGGAGTCGCTATGAGTCGGTTCCGACTCGATGGCACCTGACAACAACAACATGCTACCAGAGCTCCTTTGGCTTATGAACAGTTTATTCTAGAAGTGAAAAACAGCTCTGACCTTTCTTTATGGACTGGCATGTGCTTCTATTATCTGTGTTATCCTCAATCTACACTTTCCTTGAAAAACAAATCTTGTAAAGTCACATGTCCATTTTGTAGGAACTTGCTTGGTTGCAGCTACTTGGTATCATTTGTAAGCCCACCTGACAAGGCACAAGTAAAGTGCAATGTATTGCAACATGTTGAAAGCAGGTGAGTTGATGTACCACTATAAGCCCCATTGAGTTGTTACTGAACATCCATACTTATTCCAGTGTCTCTTGGGTCCTACACTTGTCTAGTGACTGCCTCCTGACCTAGTGAGGGCAATGGTGTCAACTAGTGCATTAAAAACTAGTACAACATTTTCTTTCAAAATATTATTAAAGCTTTATTTCTGGTTTATTTTTAGGGAAAAAAGTAAATGTAAATCCAAGTTTGCATTTTGTTTTTCTTCTTTTTCCCCCCTCCACCCTTCAGTGGTGTACATTTCCACCTTGGAAGCCATTGCTCAGCTAACTTGTTCTATCTTGTTAGCTCACAGTATGGCAGCTGGGGCACAGAAAACAGTTCTGATCAATTTAAACTAAGAGATGAAAAGTTTGATGTGCTGCAGAGATGCTCCTTCTCTTTCTTAGAAGTCTATCTATAGGGATATGACAATTTCTGTGGGATTCATTTTCATCTCCCATGGGTTGGTATGACAAAATTAGCCAAGAGCTTCTTTCCTCTTAAGAGATGCCCCCACCCTGGAAGCTCTGGTGGCATAGTGGGTTATGTATTGGGCTATTAACTATAAGGTCAGAAATTCTAATGCACCAAGCACTTCATGGGAGAAAGATGGGTCTTTCTGCTTCCATAAAGTTTTACCACCTTGGATACCCCAGACAGGGTCACTAGGAGTCAAAACCAATTCCATGGCATACAAGCCCAACCAGCAACCCAGCCTGGAAGGTCATGATCTGGCTTTGAGTGATGGTCTTAAGCCAGAAGTGCCAAAGACTTCATATGATCTCTTCTTTCTCATTTCATTGTTGTTGTTAATTCTGACTCATAGCGACCCTGTATAGGGTTTCCAAGAAGCAGCTGGTGGGCTAGAACTGCCAACCTTGTGGTTTGCAGTCCAGTGCTGATCCACAGTGCCACACAGATTCACCTATTTCTCAACAACTTCTTTAGAATCCACCCGCCCCTCCCTTAATTCCCCTGTCCCCTCTTCCTCTTACCCTGTACTGAACACTGGCAACCTAAATTCCAGCGAAAGGCCTTGAAGGTCTGCTTCCCTCCAACTCATGTCTCTTTCCAATCTGATCTCACATTTTATGGTCTTTTTGAAATGCAAACCTAATCTTATACCATCTTTAAAGATCCTTTCTTCCCCTGCTGTGTGTTAGTTGGTTCTGACTCACAGGGATCCTGTAGACAGTTTCCAAGGCTGTAAATCTTTCTGGGTCCTGCAGAGTGTCTGCTGGATTCAAATTGCTGACCTTGAGGTTAGCAGCTCAGCTCATAACCCACTACACTGCGAGGGCTCGTTCTCCCCCTTCTACCACCTGACTTTTAATGGCCTCACACTTCTGACACTTCAAGTCTCATGTCTTGTACATCTCCCTTCACTCTCTGTCCCAGACATATTATTCATCTTTCTGCCTTACACACCCTCTTTATTTTTACCTGCCCAACACAAATCCCTCTACTCAGACAGATGCACAAATGCTCCTACCCAGTGCCTCCAGCCCCTCAAATCTTAGTGGCGACTTCTGTCAGTGTACCACAAACACCTCCTCACAGGCGCAGGCTTATATTTGTGTGATTATTTGACTGTTATTCACTCCCACCTCTTCTAGGACTGGGCCAGCATGAGGGTAGGGACCGTGTTTAGGTTGGGTGAAACATTGTCGTTTCAATATGTTGTTGTTATGAAGTGCCGTCAAGTCGGTTATGCACACATGTAGTAGTTACATGCTGTGGATAGAATAGAATGATGGCTCCTTTTGCTTTAGTCTTCTCTTGTCTTCTACATAGCACTCTTAAGAACCTAGCAAGGCAGCAGGCAGAGGACTGAACATTTTGATCCAAAATATTTCTGTCCCACTTTAAAATTCTTTAATTCTATTATTTCTCATACCATATTGAAACTTCTATAGGCATATATTTTCAGACCAGGACCAGACATAATGAAATACAGGCCACACTGCAGGCCAGAATGAGAAAGCAACAGCAGGCCTGACATGACAATTACCTTTAAATTCAATTTGGAAGGAGCTGTGTTTTTTGTTTTGTTTTGTTTTTGCTGTGTTGCTGGACAGAGGTGAGTAACAGAAAGGATGCGTGTGTGAAAGGTTTTACTTCACTTGCCTGTCCTTTGAACTCTACTTTAAATTGCTATTTGTTTGCCCAATCCCTCATGCCGTAAATGCCCGGGCAAATTTTATTGTAAAAGGAACATCAAGGAGCCCCTTCTGACCAAAAGGCTCTTTGTTCTGTTATGTGGAACAGGGAAACAGTAGGGACCTTGATGAAAGAACTGGACCAAGCTTAAAGCTAGGCCATGCTTGAACCTCTGTATTAACTATAAAGGAAAAGGAGACGAATAATTGAATTGTGCTACAGTGGAATATGGAAGGGGGAGACAATTTGGCTCTGTACTCAGTGGATTTCATCTTGGCCTCTTCATGCTTTATGTGATCACCTCTTTGACATAACAGTAACAACAATAGTAACGTTGTTAAGTGCTGTCGAGTCAGTTCCAACTCAGAGTGACCCTGTAGAAGGTTTCCTAGGAGTGGTTTTGAACTACCAATCTTGTGGCTTGAAATCCAGTGCTGATCCTATAGCGCCACACCAATAGTAATGACAGCTGCTACCTATTGAGGGCTCTTGAGAGCCAAGAACCATGCTCAGTGCTTTGTATACAGTATTCCACTTAATCCTCAAGAGAACCTGTGAGGTTAATGTGATTAATAGTCCCATTCTGCAGTTGAGAAACTAAGACTCAGAGAAGTTAAATAGCTTGCTCTTGGTGTGGTACTGTAGGATAAGCACTGGACTGCAAGATCAGTTTGAACTGCAAGATCGGCAGTTCAATCTCATCGGCAACTCCTTGGAGATCCTATACAGGGTTGCTGTGAGTGGGAACCAACTTGACGGCACTTTACAATACAGAGGTCAATAGAACGCAGCCTCATTGAACTACCAGTTCCATGATCATAACCACTCTGCTATGTAGTGTCTAGAGCGCTGGCAGTGCAGTTGGTTAAGTGTTGGGCTGCTAAACCCAAAGGGGGGAGAAAGATGAGGCTCTCTGCTTCTTTTCGTCTCAGAAACCCAACGGAGCAGTTCTACTGTGTCCTACAGGGTCGCTATGAGTCAGAATCTACTCTACAGCAGTGGATTTGGTTTTGTTTGGGTGTAGTCTCTAGCTCCGTGCTGGCTACTCTCTTTAGAATTACACAAGCCTTTGAGTCTGCAAAGACAGTTATGGCTGTGCTCCCTGGTCATTGAGCTAGTAAGAAGTGGGTTAAATGGGCCTTTTGTATTCTAGAACCTAAACTATGTGCTATAACTATGTTCGATGTCCTGCTAAATGAGAACAATTACGAAAAACAACAACACTGGGCACAGAAGACAAGAGGATTATATCACACCTGTATTGTAGAGGGTTACCCATTGCTGCGGAGTCAATTCTGATTCCTAGTGACCCTATAGCAGAGAGTAGAACTACCCCATAGGATTGCCAAGGCTATGTCACTGTAATATAAGCACCAGACTGTTAGCTACAAGGGCAGCAGTTCAAACCCACCATCCAGTAACTCTGGCGGGATGGGGTGGGGTGGGAGATGAGAGGCTTTCTGTTCCTATTAAGATTTACAGGCCCAGAAACCCTACACAGGGATACTATGAGTTGGAACTGATTCGATGGCAGTGGATTTGGTTTGGGGTTTAATCTTTATGGAAGCAGATTGCCACATCTTTCTCTCAAGGAATGTTTGGTGGGTTCAAACTGCCAGAGTTAGGTTAGCAGTGAGACACTTAACCACTACACCATCATGGTTCCATATTGTATAGTCTTGTTGTTACGTGCCATGGAGTCAGTTCTGACACATAGCGACCCTGTACAGGGTCTCCGAGGCTGTAAATCTTTACGGGAGCAGAAAGCCTCATCTTTCTCCCGTGGAACAGCTGGTAGTTTCGAACTGCTGACCTTGTGGTTCGCAGTCCGATTCATAACCACTATGCTACCAGAGCTCCTATTATATAGACTAGGGGCTTAATAAATATTTGTTGAATTAATTGAATGATTAAAAAGATCATGTTGAGGGTGAGTGGTTGGGTGATTATTCAGGACAAGAATGGAAATTCCAATGAAACGTTTAATAATATAGCCTGTGACCATTTGAATTAGATATAATTTGATTGAAGATTTGCTCTCATTCTCCGCAGCAGCTTCTTCACATCATTTCATTAACATCTCAATATCTCACCCAGCATTTTAAGCAATTGAAATTTGGGGCCATATATATAGCATTATAGCATATGCATAGCATTGTTGTTGTTGTTGCTAAGTGCTGTTGAGTCAGTTCTGACCCATAGCGACTCTGTATAGGGTTTCTGAGGAGCAGCCGGTGAGCTTGAACCGCCGACCTTGCAGTTCAAACAGCTTTGCAGTCTGGCACATTAACCCAAAGCACCACATAGGATTTTACTGCACTTTCTTTTACTGGTATCAAGTACAAAACATAAAACATAAAGAATCTGGCAGAAAAATGGACCATGGCAATTTGCTTTAAGACTACTTTGGCAATATTTTGAATACTTTAAGGGAAGAAAACATTAAAATATGTCAGTGATCAATGAAATATTAGCAAAAGTTTACATAGACATAATTTGAGGTTTTGCCAGTTGGGAAATCACTTCCATTCCCTAAATCTAGAATAAGTAAAATGTAATACTTCTTTGGCACTTTGCAACATGATGGAGTGATTTTCAGAACGTATGTCTCCCTTTGCAGAGATTATTTTTATTCGTAGGTTGTAAAAGAAAGCTGTGTTAGCTGAGGGAGTTACCTAGTGAGCTTCAGCTGTCTTCTCAGTTCCTAGAATTTAAGAACAGGAAGGACTCTCCAGACATTCTTTTTTAAATTTGTTTATTCAGCTAACATGTGAACAAGAAATACTATGCCAGGCATTGTACTTGATGATGCGGTAAATGGTAAACAGGCACTGGGCCCAGAAATTGTCCCATCAGCAGGCATTTTCACTATAGTATAAGACTACCCACAAATTTGGTTGTATAGGTGTCTGTGGGAGGGACCCCTGGTCCAGAAATTCTTCCTGCTAAGCTGACATCTGCCAAAAGTAGGGTCTGACTGGGTTGGGAGTGGGCAAAGGCCATTGGAGACTAGGTGCAGAAAGGCCTAAGGTCAAGAGCCTGGTGAAGGAAGTGACAAAAGATTTAAATCAGTGTGGTGCTGCAGGATAAGCACTGGACTGCTAACTGCAAGGTTGGTGTTTCAAACTCACCAGATGCTCCTCAGAGACCCTTTACTGGGTTGCTAGGAGTTGGAGTGGACTCCACAGCACTTAACAACAACAAGGACACTAGGTTTTATCTGGAGGATAAGCATTCATTCAGTGTCTGCAGAAGTTCATTCATTCATAGTCTTCCTCAACAAATGTTTCTTCCGAACGTAAGTTAAGACCAGAGGCAGGGGTTCACACTGAATCCATGCCAGATTTGGTGGGTGTACAGACTAGCATTTTGGTTGTGGGGATGGAGTAAACTGGGTAGATTTGAGAGATAATTGGAAGGTGAAATGGACTTCCTTGGTTCTGGATCAATCTGGTCTTGAACTGATATTGCCCCTGATTTCTTGTAAGGGTCATAGTCTATCAGCAGTACAATTTTCTTTAGATGTGTTAGGGGAAGAGCAAGACAATAAATAGCTAGGGGGCATTTTCTGAAGAGTGAGAGTTGTTGTTGTTGTTAAGTGCCATTGAGTCAGTTCCGACCCATAATGACCCTGTCTAGAGTTTCTGAGGAGCAGCTAGTGAGCTCTAACTGCCAACCTTGCAGTTCAAATGGCTTTGCAGTCTGGCGCATTAACCCACAGTGCCACACCAGGACTCCAAAGAGTGAGAGTAGAGGACTGAAAATTTATTGCCATGGCTTAAAACTAACTGACTTTCAGAGTCCATCATATGCAAGCTTCATATATTATGGTATTTACATACAGTCCCTCATTTAATATCCTAGTCACCCAAAGAAGTAGGAATTATCACACAGGCATGGAAATTGACATATGGGAAGGTTATGGGATGGTCGAAGGAGCACAGCTGATGTCAGAGGCAAGCCTTAGTTTCAGGCTACTGAGTCCAGAGTGCAGAACCCTTAATTATTGGGTTTCACCACAGGTTTCAAAGGAGCCTTCGTGGCTCAATGGGTACGTGTTCAGTTGCTAACCAATAGGTTAGTAGTTTAAATCCACCCAGTGGCTCCAGGAAGAAAGACCTGGCAATCTGTTCCCATAAAGTTCCCCATCTAATAGACCCTATGGATAGTTATACTCTCTCACATGGGGTTACTATGAGTCAAAATCGAATCAGTGGCACTGAGCAGCAACCATAATTTTCAACGAGATAAAGAAAATGTACTGTAAGAATTTAGACGTGATCTTGGAAGGATTTTAACATTGATTGATTTATTCCATTTTTCTCTTCTCTAAAGAAGCGTTCTTTCTTGAGTACCTCATATCTGGTGACCACAATAAGAGACCATGAACATGGTCTTTCAGAGCATGAACTCTGATGTTCAAAGCCTTGAAATGAAAACCTACCTTTCTCTCTTCCAAGTTCTGTGACCTTTGCAAAATTACCTAACTTCTGGAATTTTAGTAAAGTAGAGATTACAATTTTACATGCTGTCTTCTTGGATTGTTAGGATTTGATGACTTGACATACAGAAAGTTCTGAGAACAGCACCTCGTGCCAGCTAAGCATGTTGTTATTGTTAGCAGCCAAACGTCAGCAGTTCAAGCTCACCAGCCACTCCTTGGAAACTCTGTACAGGTTAGCTATGGGTTGGAATCAACTTGAAGGCACTTACCAACACCAACAACTCATAGTGACTCTAAATACAACACACACTTCCTTTTCCTATGCTATCCTCCTAGTGGTTGGTATGTTTCAGCCCATTGTTGTAACCACTGTGTCAATCCATCTCCTTGAGGACCTTCCTCTTTTTCTTGGACCCTATACATTACCAAAGGAGCTCTGGTAGCATAATGGTTATAAATCAGGCTGCGAAGCGCAAGGTCAGCAGTTCGAAACTACCAGCTGCTCCACGGGAGAAAGATGAGACTTTCTGCACCCGTAAAGATTTACAGCTTAGGAAACCCTGTACAGGGTCGCTATGAGTCGGAACCGACTCCATGGCACATAACAACAACAATAATACTTTACCAAGCATGATGTCATTCTTCAGGGACTGGTCCTTCCTGATAACATGTCCAACGTATGTGAGGCCAAGTCTTGCCCTCCTCACTTCTGGGGAACATTCTGGCTGTACTTCTTCCAAGACAGACTTTTTCCTTCTTCTGGAAGTTCATGGTATGTTCAATGTTCTCTTTAACACCATAATCAATTGTCCTTTAGAATTTCTTATTTAATGATTAGCTTTCACATGCATATGAGGCAATTGAAAATACCGGGGCATGGGTCAGGTACACCTTAATCCAGAAGATGACAATTATGCTTCAGTGCCATCTTTGTTCATTGTCAGTATTTGGCTATGTCCTTTCCCTTGTGAAGCTATCTTAGTTTTCTAATGCAGCCATAACAGAAATACACAAATTGATGACTTTGAAGAACAGAAATTTCTTATAGTTCAAAAAGGTTAATAGTCTAAATCAGGGTTTTGGCTGTGCCAATTCCTACCTTGCTCAGCTCTTTTGGTGAGTGTGCTCTTGGTATTTGTTGGAAGAATTTTCCTCTTATTTTGCCCAGGTTTTGTCATTGTTGCTGTTGTGTGCCGTTAAGTTGGTTCTGACTCATAACAACCCTGAATAGGGTGTCCAAGAAACATCTGGTGGGTTTGAACTTTGAACCTTGTGGTTAGCTTATCTAACGCTTATCGTAAGGCACCACACCAAATTTCCAGGTTTTGTTATTGTTGCTATTAAGTGCCCTTGAGTAAGTTCCAACTCACAGCGACCCTGTACAGGGTTTCCAAGAAGCACCTGATGAGTTTGAACTGCTGACCTTGTGGTTAAAACTGACCTTGTGGTCCAGTGCTTATCCTACAGCACAACTCCAGGTTTTATCATAGCCCATATCACAGGCTATTTAGCCGTGAACATAAGCAATGGAAGTGAACTACCGCTGTATCTAAACTCTAACCTGTTTTTTGCAGGAACGGGAGCTTCCCAAGGACAACTGTTTTCACTGCCGAGGGTCGGGCAGTGCCACCTGCTCTCTATGCCATGGCAGCAAGTTTTCGATGCTGGCCAATAGATTTAAGGAATCCTACCGGGCCCTGCGGTGTCCTGCCTGCAATGAGAATGGCCTGCAGCCTTGCCAGATTTGCAATCAATAGCCCTTGGCTTTTGCATGTCTACTTTTCTTCACCCTCCCTAAAGTAATTTCAAATAAACTGCCCTCCTCCTCCTCCTGCTTCACCCAGCAAGGGAGCCACAGCGGTTGTGGTTACTTCCACCACTGGCAACATTCAATTACTCGATGACATTTTGTAAGTTGGTAACATCTCCATGTGGATGTGAGTGACAGGGGCATTTTTGAATTAGAGTCTGCTTTGCAATGCTTTGCAACTGGTTCTAAAATTATCCTTCCAGGGACGTGCGCTTATATCTTGCTTGACTTGGCTCTGTCGTTTTCTCCTTGGGCTAGTGAACAAATAAATGTTCAGGCAGTAGGCTGAAGTAATTTTCTGGTTGGGAGTTACCTTGCGAAATTATGCAGTGGGAAAGGAATAAAAAGGTAGGTTTTGATGATGTGAATTTCTGTTGCTTAGCATGCATTTCAAAGTGCTACTGAATTTCTAATTAAGCTGAAGAAGAAAAGTATGCCCTGCGGTGAAGGCCCTGGCAGGCCACAACAAGCAAACAGGATACAAATGCTTCACATTGAAGATAGACAAGCTGAGGAATTTCCTTTCAAAGTCCTGAATATCTGCTGGTTAATGCACTTTGGTAATATACATGTAGGCAGCGAGGAATACTACTTCTTTAGTATAAAATGAGATAAGACATTTCTGCGTGCCTCTAACTACTGAGGTTATAAGCCAAGTCAAAGCTACAAATTTGGTGCTTAAGTATGTGTGTGTGATAATGACTTCCAACAGCCCCTAGATTGTAATCAAATAGATAAACCTATTTAAAGTCTAGATCTAGCTATGATCTCTTCATAAAAGACTGTATTTATTTTATAAGTATCTATTGAAAAAACCTGGAGTCCTGGTGTGGTGTTGTGGGCTGTGGGTTAAAGCTCTGGACTGCAAAGTCAGTTGGTACCACAAGGTTGGTGGTTAAAGCTCACCAGTTGCTCTTTGGAAACCCTATACAGGATCACTATGGGTCAGAACTGACTTGGCAGCACTTAAAAATAAACTGAAAACATCTAAAGAAAAATGAATCACTTTTCAGAGATTATTTTTACTGTAATTACACATAGTAGATACAATTCTTTCCTCTTCAAGTTGGTTATAAAATTAGAAACATACTTAACACTAATGAGCTTTTATAGTCCTAACACCTACCTCCCTACACCCATGCCCCTGTGAATAGCACTTTAAAATCTTTATCTTTTGAGATAGGTTGCTTTTCTATGATAATTATTTTGATTTGGGTAACAATTTTTTTTTTACAATTTGTTTGCTAATTATTCTCTAAAATTCAGCTATGAAAATGATTAATGATTGAACATATGGTATGCTTTTCAGGCAATATAAATACTTCTAATTAAAAAAAAAAAGTATTTTTTTTGAAGTCATGATAATTTTTCTGTTCTCTCTTAGTGAGGGCTTACCACTACTCACGGGTATTTTGTACTTGTATACTTAACTCCTCCTGCCTCCGTGTTTTGTCACAGTTTGTCAGATACAGTCTCGTCTGCTTTCTGTAACACTAGAGGAAGGAATAATGTTGAGAGAACTTTATGTGCATTCTTTTTCTTTCTGACAGAAATATTTGACAATAAGTATTGTTTGAACTCCCACTTTACTAAGGACATTTTAGCTGTGCACTCAATGTACAGTGATACCCAGATATGTAAACAATGCAAACAATTCTCAGACAGAGGAATTACATGGAGCATTTAAAGCACATAGAGATAGATAGATAGATAGATAGATAGATAGATAGATAGATAGATAGATAGATAGATAGATAGATAGATGATAGATAGATAGATGATAGATAGATGATAGATAGATAGATAGATAGATAGATAGATAGATAGATAGATAGATAGATAGATAGAGATAGCTCTTGGCATGGCAATCCGAGGAACAACAAAACAAAATGTTGCCTGGCCCTACATCATTTTCATGATCACCAAAATATTTGAGTCCACTAGGGTACCAATCTACTGCACCAAGGGTCTTCTCTCTCACTGGCCCTCTACTTCACCAAACACAATATCCACCTCAAGTGACTGATTCTCTCTGTTGATGTTTCCAAAGCAAGAGAGTTGGACAATGTTGTGATGACTTGGTGGTGTACAGACACAACAAAAACAATTTTCAGAAGTAGTTTATCAGGCCTTTCTTTTGAGTCTGTCTTAATCTGGAAGCTCTGTTGAAGTCTTCTTACCATGGGTGACTCTACTGATATTTGAAATACTAGTGCCATAATGTATAGCATCATGGCGGTGGTGGTGGTGGTGGTGTGCTGAGGAGTCAGTTCAGACACATAGCTACCCTGCATAGGGTTTCCAAGGCTGTAAATCTTTATGGGAGCAAAAAGCCTCATCTTTCTCCCATGAATGACTGATAGTTTCGAACTACTAACCTTCAGGTTAGAAGCCTGACTTGTAACCATTATGCTATCACAGCTCCTAAATACACTATAAAAGCACCATGCAAGTTACTACAGTAGATATGTGGACAGTGAGAAGCACATAGCAAATGGGTCTAACATAGCCTTAGTGAGGTTAAGGCTTTCCAGAATAAGAGGTATGAGCATTATTTGCAATATTGTCCTAATCCATGCTTTTAGGAGACTTTAATGTTTTTCATGATCTCTAAATTCAGGTGGGATACATTCAAGCTCATATAAGGCTCTCGTGGACTGTTTTAATATTATTCCACTTCAGCCTGAACTTGCATATGAGCAACTGATGGTCTGTTCCACAGTATGTCCCTGATCTTCTTTTGGCTTTTCCATCATCTCTACAGATGTAATCAATTTGATTTCTGTGTATTCCATCTGGTGAGGTCCGTGTGTTTTCTGTTGTTTAAAAAAGGTATTTACAATGAACAAGTCATTGATCCTGCAAAATTTGTTTGTGCTATCTCCAGCATCGTTTCTATCACCAAGGCCACATTTTTCAACCACTGACCCTTCCTGTTTGTTTCCAACCTTTGCATTTCAATCAACAGTACTTATTAATACATCTTGATTGCACGTTGATCAATTTCAGACTGAAGAAGTTAGTGGAATTCTTTAATTTCATCATCACTGGCTTTAGTGTTGGTGTGCAAATTGGAATAATAGCAGTATTAACTGGTCTTCTTTGTAGGCATATGGATATTATCCTATCACATACAGCATTGTTCTTCAAGACAGATCTTGGTATGTTCTTTTTTGATGGCGAATGCAACACCATTCCTTCCCAATTTGTCAACCCAGCATAATAGACAATGTGATAGCTAGACTCAGATTGTTGTTGTTGTTGTTGTTATGTGCCGTGGAGTCAGAACCGACTCATAGCGACCCTGTACAGGGTTTCCGAGGGTGTAAATCTTTACGGGAGTAGAAAGCCTCATCTTTCTCCCGCGGAGCAGCTGGTAGTTTCGAACTGCTGACCTTGCGGTTCACAGCCCAAGTCGTAACCACTACGCTACCAGACTCAGATGGTCAATACCAATTCATTTCAGCTCACTAATGCCTACGGTATCAATGTTTATGCATTCCATTTAATTCTTGAAGATTTCCAATTTTCCTAGATTCATACTTCATACATCCCATGTTCCAATTATTAATGGATGTTTGCAGCTGTTTCTCTTCATTTTGAGTTGTGCCCCATCAGCAAATGGAGGTCTTGAGAGTCAACTCTACCGAGGAGGCAGCTCTTTCCCAGTCGTATTTTGAGTGCCGTCTAATGTGAGGGACTCATCTTCCTGCACTGTATCTGATAAAATTCTGATGTTCTTCATGTTTCAATATTCAATAGTCTGATGCTGACAGTGTTCCACTGCTATTCATAAGGTTTTCAGTGACTAAATATTTGGAAGTAGTCTGTCTCTCCTTCTTCCTAATCTCTCTTCAGCTGAAACCTGCCCACTGTGGGTGACCCTGCTGGTATTTAAAATACCCATAGCATAACATGTAGCATCACAGCAACATGCAAGCCACCATAGTACGACAAACTGACAGACGGCAGATTTTATGCATTCGACATTGAAGACCAAAGACCAGAAGAGTTGTGGGATGGCATCAAGAACATCATACAGGAAGAAAGCAAAAGTCATTAATAAGACAAGAAAGAAGGAAAAGATCAAAAGAGATGTAAGAAGAAACTTTGAAACTTGCTCTCCAATGTTGAGATGCTAAAGCAAATGGAAGAAATGAGGAGGTAAAAGAGCCAAATAGAAAATTTCAAAGGTCAGTTTGACAAGACAAAGTCAAATATTATAAACAAATGTGCAAAGACCTATAGTTAGAAAGTCAAAAGGGAAGAATACGTTCACCATTCCTCAAGCTGAGGGAACTGAAGAAAAAATTTAAGCCTCAACTAGAAGTATTGAAGGATTCTATGGGCAAGATAATTGAATTATGCAGAAAGTATCGAAAGAATATAGAAAGAATACAAAGTAACTATATCATAAAGAGATGGTTGATGTTCAATCATATCAAGAGGTAGAATATGATCAAGAGCCAATGGTATTGAAGGAAGAAGTCCAAGGTGCATTGAAATCATTGGCAATGAACAAGGAACTGGGAATTGATGGAGTACAGATTGCAATGTTTCAACAAACTGACACAGCACTGGAGGCACTTACTCATCTACGCCAAGAAATTTGAAAGACAAATACCTAGCCAACTAACTCAAAGAGATCCATATTTGTACCCATTCCAAAGAAAGGTGACCCAACGGAATGAGGAAATCATCGGACAATATCACTAATATCCCACACAAGAAAAATTTTGCTGAAGGTAATTTAAAAATGACTGTAACCACATATTCACAGAGAACTTCCAGAGGTTCAAGCTGGATTCAGAAGAGGATGTGGAAAAAGGGATATCATTGCTGACATCAGATGGATCTTGGCTGAGGCAGAGAATATCAAAAAGATGTTTGTCTGTGCTTTATTGACTATGCAAAGGCTTTTGATTGTGTTGATTGTGACAAACTATA